TATGCAGGTAAACAGGTGCTGATTCAGCATCAGTTGAATATATATATATTATTCAGCTGATGGGAGTAGTATAATCAGTTCAGGTTCACTGAGAAAACAAAATGTAATGTTAGATGGGGAGGGGGCTGATATTACAGGGAGAACTAAATTCATCTCTACATTCAAGATCTCTGTCTCCTTACTATTTTGTTCAGAGCTTTTGAGGTAACGTCAGTGGGTTTCTCAGTATGCATATGGGGGAAACAACAACATTCTAGAAGTGTGATGGCAAAACTTCTAGTATGAAGCTACACTGAACGCTGAAAATAATGCTTGACAACTTCAGACTCTGCAGTCTCCTCCCTTTTTCTGTTTTGTTTTCAATGTTGTTTCCTTATAGGCAATTTTAAATAAAATCAAAATTGCACCAAAGACCTACAAAGCAATTACAATTTGGGTAATAAAAGATAATTCATCAGCAGACTTCCAGACTGTCCTGGTACATGCAGACTCCTTTCAAAGTAACTCCTTGGATTTCTTATTTTTAGGTAGTTTTCCAATGCAGTGGCCTTAGTTATTATGTTGTATTACATAATGTAATTGCCTCGATGCAGTATTGGGAGTGGAAGAGTGTCAGGTTAGAAAAGAGTGATGAGCTGTTCTAAGCTGTTCTCAATGTTTTCTTTGAAGAAAAGTACACATTTTCCCATTCACTGGGGTAAAATACACTTTATATTGTCTTCTTGTTGTCCTTGGAGAAGAGAAATTGCACAAAGGTTTCAGTGCCTTCCCTGTTTCAGCCTCAATAGCTGGAACTGTTATGTATGTTAGTTGTTTTTCCTCTCTGTGTTCACTAGTATGATCCTTTAAAATTTCTAAATATCTGTCAAGGTTTTACCACTTCAGCTCCACAGAATAGTAAAAAGCATTTTTTTCATAAAATAAAAAAATGTAAACCACATCTCTCAATGCTTAATAAGATTTTAAGTTTCTTTTAGAGGAAGTTATAGTGAAAGAAAATGAGAAAAGTTAAATCAAAGACATTTCCCCAAATATAGGTATAGCAAGTCTGATCCTAACATTAGAGAGAGTGAGCCATCTCCATATAAAATTTGAGGTAGAAAGAATAGACAGTCAATTGCTGGTAATTTAATATGTTACTATATGTTTAGTTTTATCTACATTTGCAAGCAATGGAAAGAAACATCTGTGAGATTTTTTGCCATGTGGTCCAAAAGAATATAGCTGATTTTGGGTACTATGTACTTCAACTTGGATGAGTTGAGGCAGGGCAGACAGGGCAGGAACGAAAACATATTTTTTACCCTGCTTCTGACCACAAAATATTGTGTGCCAGCTTTACACTTCAGAAATTGTATTGTCTACAGGCATTGCTTGATGTATCTCCACCTGTGAGTTTGTACCTACAGAGCTGGACCCAATGAAAAGGGCATCCACCTGCAGAATTGACATCACTGGTGTATTGATTTTCTCTTTCTTCTGTGAAATAAGGCCACTGTGAATCATCTAAATCTAATTTAGACCATTGCGGGATTCTGGAGCACATTAGTAGATATTTATAGAGGAAGTGGGAATTCCCATCACAGGAATAGAAATGTGCTTCTTTGATGTTGGAATTGGCAGGCTGTGGCATCCATTTCAGTTGTGTTTAATCTGAAATTCAAATAAACTATCCAACATGCTGGACCTGTCTTTGAGATAGACTATGCACCTTAAATGGCTCCTTTAAAATTCAGACCACAATCTGCAGTGGATTCTCCAGCCCAGAGCTTTTTCAACTTTTCCACACATATGCCCTTTCTGTTCGAGAATTTTTTATGTCACAATGGGTACATAGTATATGTAATAAGTATTTGTTGTTGTTCATTCGTTCAGTCGTCTCCGACTCTTCGTGACCTCATGGACCAGCCCACGCCAGAGCTCCCTGTCGGCCGTTACCACCCCCAGCTCCCTCAAGGTCATTAAATAATTACTGATAATAAACCAGCATTTGCAAGGCTTGCTAAACAGGCTGTCCACTGTAAACACTGATGTTGCTAACAGATTTGTGTAAATGGGTGTTGTTCAGAAATCTTTTACTGTTGCCAAACATTGAACTTTGGGGTCAGGATCCACAGTTTTAAGAAGCAGTGCTCTTAAACTGGGATATTTATGAATGATAGATAAATAAAAGGGAGTTACTAGCCACCACAGATCATAGGCAAGTTCCGCAACCCCAAGGGTAGCCTTATAATAATCAATGATGCAGCTTACTAATTTTAGATCCTATACTTATTGGGCTTATGGCAGGGCGGGGGGATAACTATGTGTATTACTTGAGCTGTGGAGCTCACAATTAACTCTTTTCTGCCTTACTGTTTGCCATACTACTCTTCCACAGATTTCAGTGGCTGAATATGTAAATGAAAAAGCAGCAAGCACCCTTTACCAAATCTGATTTTTAAAAAGCAAAGAAAGGGAAACTGAATATATCCTAAAGCCATGAAATAACACAACAATGTGTATATATCATTGTGAGATAGTAAAGGATGATACTTGTTTAGTACAAGTTGATAATCCTTTATCTGAAGTGCTTGGAATGAGAAATCTTTTGGATTTTTTATTTTAGAATGTTTGCATGTATGTAATTAGATATCTTGACAATGGGAACCTAAGCCTGAACATAAATTAATGTATGCTTCTAACAACTGATCAGTTTGAAAATATGCAAATGTGAGTAAATCAATAGGTACCGTTTTGGCAGGAAGGTAACAGTGCTCCATGCAGTTATGCTGGCCACATGACCTTGGAGGCATCTACGGACAACGGCAGGTCTTTGGCTTAGAAATGGAGATGGGCATCACCCCCCAGAGTCGAACATGACTAGACTTAATATCAAGAGGAAACCTTTACCTTTACTTCATATATAGCTTATACACAAAGCTTGAAGGTAGTCTTACAAAATACATTTAAACATTTTGTGGATGAAAAAAGTTTGTATATACATAATTGCCAAAAAAACAAAGGTATCACTATCCCAGTCAGCTACCTGAATAATTTTCGATTTTGGGTTTTGGGCAATTTACTTTTGTAGTGAGGCAAGAAGTGTTGTGACAGTGACTGAACAACAACAATAATATTAATTGTTGAAAATAGAAAGTAATTTCTATAAATAATTGTGGAAAGCAAAAAATCCTCTTTTTAAAAAAAGAGGAATATATTTGAATTTTTTTTAAAACAAACAATTAAAGATAATTATGCATATGCCCAGTCAGTCACCCCATCAAAGGTTTTTAAAAACAATTCAGAATAAACAGTAGCATATTTCAAGATTGCTTCTGTTGTGTATTCCTGCATGGCAGGGTAGGAATACACAACACCCTTTGTGTATTCCTACCCTTCCAACTCTAAGATTCAACATTACAGTAGACACTTCCAGGGATACTCCATTACAGTCTGGTTCCTAGCCCAAATGCTGATATGAGACTTTTTTGATGACAACTGACATCTTATCACCACCAGAAGCTGCAGCTACTGGAAGTGTCAAAGGCAATTTACTTTTGTAGTGAGGTAAGAAGTGTTGTGACAGTGATTGAAACTCTGGCAGTGATTGGTTGGCAGATGGGGGAAAAAGAATCATTCCACCTGTCCTGAACCAAAGTGCTTTAGGAACCAGATCAGACCATAAAAAAGAGATGCAAGAGAAACAGAAAGACCAAGGAAAGGGGAAGTAGAAGAAATAGGAGATGGAACTTAGAACCTGAGAAGACAATGGAGGAGGTTAGTAGGAAGTTTCTTAGAAAAGAAGAAAAACTAGAGAGAAAAAGAACAGAAAAAGGAAAGATACAATGGCCAGAAGTTTAAAGGAAGCCTGAATTTCCTTTATCAATTTGAAATTATTACTCAAATCTTGGTTTGCAGGCCTCTTGAGTGCCTTCTAAAGCAGGGCCAGGATAGAGTTGTCCTTCTGGATGCCTCTGAACTTCAATTCCCACCAGACCCAGCAATGTCTGGGTAGTTATTAGATATAATAGAACAAAAAAAAACCTTGCATTTACACAATGGCTAGCTTTTATTTCCAATATTTAGCTTGTAGTTGTTCATTTGATATCATAGAGTCTGCTTGGTTTAACACCTCAGATCTTTTCCATAAAGGTGTCTGATGTAACACAAAATTATGTCTGAAAAGTTTATATTCCAAATTGTAACCAGGTGGTGAAGACATGCCTGGAACAACTTCTCTCCCTCACATTTGGGACTTTTTTGCCTTTATTAAATAAGAATGGCAGTGCTTGAACATGAAGAAGCCTTAAGATTATATCCATTCATTACTTTCAGGTAATGTTGAATGGATTTTAAAAAATGGGGCTTGTTAAGTCAATACTTTTGCAAGTCCCATTGATTCAGTGAACCTCCTCTATTTGGGGCTAACAATTGAATTTCTCCCATACATTCTGATATGATTTTGCTTAGTGTATAATGTTCAGCATTAAATGTCATTCTAGCTAAACACTGTAGCTGTTGTAATTACTACAGTAGTAATGTTTCTGCAGGATTAAAGAGTGTGTAGCAGATGGCAGCACATATTCTTCTGGGAGCAACTTAATTCTAATGGCCTGTTGATGGTGGGTATTTGGGAAATAACATCTTTAATCCATTGGCTACTATTCTGTAATGTGATTAATTCTGATGATTCTAGAATTATAGTGAGAAATTAGGCAGGAGTGTAGTAGAAGAGGAGGGCAATGAAGAGAGAACAACAAAGAATCTGGGAAGTTGTGGGAAATCCAGATCTTAACCAAAATTAGATTTAAAATACAGCCTTGAATAAAGATTAATGAGTATTAAAGACCAAGATTAGATTATTCTTAGAATTAAACTAATTTAAAAGATTAGATAATAATTACAGATCTGAAAGATTCAATAAGACTTAAAACAAGATTTAAGAGGAATTTGTTTGGATTGTTTTTTCAGTGTTTTCCTTATATTGTCTCCACCTCTCCCTCTTTTCCCTTTAACAGCTTCTCACAAATGCCAACAGCTTCAGGGAAATATGATACCAATGACAATATCACCATATTCACCAGGATTCTGGATGGCCTGTTGGATGGATATGATAACAGACTTCGCCCAGGTTTGGGAGGTACGTTGGATGTTCCTGCAGATATGCATATGTTGGAATCTAAAGGTTGTGCACTTATCTGTATAGTGTCTCTGCCCTTTGGTATCTACATAGAAACAAGAGGATGTCCCATCCATTTTTAGTGAGTTGCATATTTAATAAATGTCTGACAGTTATCTGACAATGTTGTGAAGTTGCTGTGATATCTGTGGCATTGCCATCAAATCCAAGAGCAAAAACAAGCTTCCAGATTTTCAGAAGAAGTAGGATATAACTCTAATGAATTACTGAATGAGAAACAGTTTTCTTGTTGAGAGCTGCCTTATCTGAAGCATATGGTGGCGTATGTCGGTTCTTCTTCAGTTTTGCCATCCCACAATATACATTCTGACTCCCATCCCATGATGTACATCTACTTCAGATGGGGCTCCATTGCAAAACTGAAGTGAAACCGGTGTTTGCCGTGGCAGCAGTAATATGGGAGGCTTCTTGTATTGCATAGATATCAATGGGGGAAGCCAGGCAGCAGGTGCTTTCTTCGTGGGATGAGGTAAGAGGGGAATCTGAGCAATGTGGGGTGTGGGGCAATGAGTTCCCCGTGCCCCCTTCCGGGCACCACTGGCTTTACCACAATCTATGGCAATTCCAGCAGCAAATGTAATGAAGTCCATAATCTAACACCATGTGGTAATGACAGTGGAATAGAAGTGACCAAAATCAAAGTGACCAAGGATCATCCTTTTAAACTTTTTTCTTTCAACCTTTAACTCCTCAGTTTCTCTCTCCCTTTCTTTCTTTACACCTCATTTGCCCTTACCTTTTTTTCTTAATTCTCACACAGTGGGTTGCATGGGAGTGGAAAATTATTGCTCCCAAAGTACTCACCAGATCACACTGCACTTTAAAGATTTATAGCACTATTATTTCACATTAACTGCCATGAGAACATCCTATGGAATGCTGACATTTGCAGATTGGGATTGGGTATTTAGAATTAACAGACCCCATCTTCGCTGTCTATATAATTCAGTTTTTGAATGCAGATTACACTATGTAACATGATTTTTGTTCCTGGGTTATAAAGATCATTTCCCAATTGGTGCTATCATAAAACGTGGAAAAAGTTTAATAAATTGCACAAATGTTGTTTTTGCATGACATCTTGCAGTACATTTTGCTATAGTTTTTCAATGAATATCTCATAGAGTCTCAGTTAATTCAACATAGTTTGTGGCAGTCAGAAAAATGAAGTTTCGGGAGTATAACAACTATTTTCAACATAAGTACCTCACAATTAAACAGGAAATAACACTTTCAAACTAGGAACAGATTTTTTAAATTTTGTTACATAGTTCTATCCATTTTAAACTGGATTATATGATTCAACACTGCCATATAATCCAGTTTAAAGCACATAACCTGCATTTAGAAACTTGATTATATGGTAGTGTAGATGGAGCCAGGCCCCCCTGGTGGTGCAGTGGGTTAAACTGCTGAGCTGCTGAACTTGCTGACTGAAAGGTTGGCAGTTTGAATCCAGGGAGTGGGGTGAGCTGCCACCGTTAGCCCCAGCTTCTGCCAACCTAGCAGTTTGAAAACATGTAAATGTGAGTAGATCAATAGGTACTGCCATAGTAGGAAGATAACAGTGCTCCATGCAGTCATGCTGGCCACATGACTGTTGTCTATGGACAGTGTCAGCTCTTCATGAGAAATGGAGATGAGCACCACTCTCCAGAGTCGGACACGACTAGACTTATTTATTTATGTATTTATTTATTATTTACCATATTTGTATACTGCCCCTCTCAACCCAGAGGTGACTCAAGGCAGTTACAGTTGGCAGTCAATGCCCCCAAACAACATAAATACAATTAAAAACATGACATATAATATAAACCATATAAAAGCAATAAAACAATAAAAACCATAAAACACAAGTCCTCGGCGTCTCATCACTATAATCATTTTTCCATCTCTTTGTCCAATCATTCCGTGGATCTCAATTAGTCTGTTACACTGCATCTGCAAATTCCTGCTCAAACAGCCAGGTTTTGACTCTCTTTTGAAATGTTAGGAGGGAGGAGCTGATCTAATATTCCTAGGGAGGGCGTTCCATAGCCGAGGGGCCACCGCTGAGAAGGCTCTGTCTCTCGTTCCCACCAATCGCATCTGTGAAGGGGGCAGGACCAAGAGCAGGGCCTCACCAGATGATCTTAAGTGCCTAGATGGTTCATAGGGACCAGGTGAAACCTTCACCTTTTTAGATGGAGCCAGACAGACAGCTCTTGGCTCTCACTAAACTACAAACTCCAGGATTCTATAGGACCAAAGCAGTTAAAGTGGGATAATAATGCTATAACAATGCAATGTGATATGGCTTTTACATTCGTGGAAGGCTTTTAAATTATGCCAAAGTCTTGTACATCCTCTACCCTGTTTCAGAGTTCTTTAGCTGCACTGTTGTGATAAGATTTGTTGCTCCCATGTAAGTTCTGGAATTTGCCTCTTGATATAACAGCTACTGATTTGCTGTTTGCTTTTCTTTTGCTGCAGAGAGAATAACTGAGGTGAAGACAGACATTTATGTTACGAGTTTTGGCCCTGTATCGGACACCGAAATGGTGAGTTGGCTTTTGTTGTCCCTCCTAGAAACACATAGCTTGGAGAACATATTTTGGAGAACATCCTCCAGGATGCATCTACACTATAGAATGAATGCAGTTTGACACACTTGAACTGCAATGCCTCAAAGTTATGGAATCATAGAAGTTGGGATCTGGTGATGCACTTTTAGTCTTTGACAAAAAGACTGCCATGATTTCACAGCACTGAGTCATTGCAGTTAAGATGGTGTCAAACTGCATTAATTTTGCAGTGTCTCTATGGCAATGATGCCTGAAACGTTGTAGTTGTAATGAACAACTTTTCCATACTCTCTGGAAGACTCATGGGACTAGTGGAGCGAACATGTTTTGTCTTTGTTTTATTCCAGCAATATACCATTGATGTTTTTTTCCGACAAAGCTGGAAAGATGAAAGGCTTCGTTTTAAAGGCCCAATGGAACGTCTCCCTCTGAACAATCTCCTTGCCAGCAAGATCTGGACTCCAGATACTTTCTTCCATAATGGTAAAAAGTCAATCGCTCACAACATGACCACTCCCAACAAGCTTCTGCGCCTTAAGGATGACGGGACCCTCCTGTATACGATGAGGTGAGGACACTGCTTTTAATTATCTTTCTGTTATACTTCAACTTGTAGAGCCCTGTATTCTTCACAAGGGAGGCAGAGGGAAAAGTCTTTTACATATATTTATGAGAATATCAAAAGAAAGTGGGAAGCATAATCACCCTTTACAACTAGCAATTAAAGTACAGCTTCTGAACAATGCTGATTTTTTAGAAAAAAATATATTTTCTGAAGAGCAAATGACTCAGAGTAGCTTCCCTCCAGAAAAAAACACCCAGTGGATTGCCATTTTAAGTATTTGTAGCTGATCAGCTGATTTTGATCTAAGTCAGAAAGCCGAACTTGTCATTTGTTTGATACATCATGAACAATCAAAGTGTAGGGTTTGCTTGTGTTTTAATTTTAAAAATCTTCGTCAATTCTAACCTAATGAAAGAGGTAATGTAGGTGGTGTATAACAGAGGCATTATTTTAGCAGACACCTTTTCCAGCCAGGCAAGTGCTTGTGAATTTAATTGAGATTGGAGCCTTTCAAAGTTTTGCTGAGGCTGATGGTGGGATATAAGTTCCTTTGTGGCTTGGCCACATTGTCTCTTACTGCAAATACATGTTCTGCAATATTTAAGATGGAGTATTAACTTCTTAGAGAATCTGATGAAGTAGGCAGAAATTCAAAGGATAACTGAAAAGATCAAAAAGTGTATCTACAAATGTTTGTATTATGTATAAACATCACAAAAGCTGAGCGACAGTTGCTAACAGTAGTAGGCCACATAACGTTTCCAAGATCTGGCAATGATAATATTTATTTTATTTATCATTTATTTAGAACATTTATACACTGTCTATTTTTGACCTCTGAGGAGGGACTCAGGACGGCTACCAACAGACAACAATTCAATGCCAACACAATATAAACACATAATAAATATAAATATAAATATACATTGAAACAGTTTGCCAAGTATAAAAGCTAGTATAGATTACACAATTACAGCACTATGATTTTATTTTAACTTCCATAGCAACATCTTTTGGAATCCTGGTATCTATCATTTAGGGAGAAATATTTAGGATGCTCAGCCAGAAAGCTCTAATGCCTCACCAGACTACCAACTGCATAGTCCATGCAGTCCAGTCAGTGTGGATTTTATACAGTTGTGTGGAAGGGGCCCAAGTCACAAATAGGAAGCCCAAGATTTGAATATTGTCATTATTATAAAAGTAATAGGTGGCTATATGTAATGTGTGCAAGTTGTATGTCAATTTGGGGCAATCTCATGTATTTCATAGGGGTTCTTAGGCAAGAGATACACAGATGTAGTTTTGCCAGTTCGTTTCTCTGAATTTTTAACTTGCATTTTATTAATCTCTGTTTTGTACCTTTTAATATGTATTTTGTGGGAATACATTTTAATATGTGTATTTTAAAGAATGTTTTTAGGTGAATGTGTGTTTTAGCAATGCTGTAACCTGCCTTGAGCTGTGAGGAGAGGTGGGCAAGGAATAATCATTATCATTATCATTATCATTAACATTACTACTACTACTACTACTACTACTACTACTACTATATAGCCTACAGCTCCTGGCAGGGCATAGCAAAAAAAAAATGGGGGGGGGGAGAGGTTGAAACTTTTCTTTAGTGAATCATGAAGAGTAGTTCCATAATACAAAATAATTTAAATAGTATGCTTCATTCTACATTTTTATATAGATTTAATTAAATCTATTTTCTATTTTAGTTACAAAATTTCAAGTCTTAAAATAACCGAAAATGACAGTTGTTTGGTAATTTATAGTTACAAAAAAGTGCCACAACATCTGTTGGAAACACTTGAAAACTGTGTGAATACACATTGACAGAAATCAGGCTCCATTTATAAACTTTGGGGGACACTCTAAAGTGCTGGTCCAGTCAGTCTTTCTTGCCTCATTGTGCTTTTTATGTATGTTTTCAAACATTTATGAGTTGAAATTGACCTTTTTAACCTGAAAATTATCAAGGCAGGGGTTGAACCCCTAACCCATCCCCCCTTGGCTACAGCACTGGCTCCTGGTGTTCATTAGCAATCTCCCAGTACTTACATTGTACCTATTTCATCTCTCTCATTATCTGTAACATCTTCATACCTAGATTATTATCAGAATTATAATTCGGTAATACATATAAAGTGCTTTGAACACCTGGAAATACTATACAAATATTAAGTACTAGCCGTCCCCTGCCACGCGTTGCTGTGGCCCACATGGGGGTTCTGTGTGGGAGGTTTGGCCCAATTCTATCGTTGGTGGGGTTCAGAATGCTCTGTGATTGTAGGTGAACTATAAATCCCAGCAACTGCAACTCCCAAATGTCAAGATTCTATTTTCCCCAAACTCCACCAGTGTTCACATTTGGGCATATTGAGTATTCGTGTAGAGTTTGGTCCAGATCCATCATTGTTTGAGTCCACAGTGATCTCTGGATGTAGGTGAACTACAACTCCAAAACCAAAGGACACTGCCCACCAAACCCTTCCAGTATTTTCTGTTGGTCATGGGAGAACTGTGCGCCAAGTTTGGTTAAATTCCAAGGTTGGTGGGGTTCAGAATGCTCTTTGATTGTAGGTGAACTATAAATCCCAGTAACTACAACTCCCAAATATCAAGCTCTATCTGTGTTTATATTTGGGCATATTGAGTATTCATGCCAAGTTTGGTCCAGATCCATCATTGTTTGAGTCCACAGTGTTCTCTAGATGTAAGTGAACTACAACTTCAAAACCCAGGGTCAATGCCCACCAAGCCCTTCTAGTGTTTTCTGTTGGTCAGGGGAGTCCTGTGTGTCAAGTTTGGTTAAATTCCATCATTGGTGGTGTTCAGAATGCTCTTTGATTATTAGTGAACTATAAATCCCAGCAACTACAACTCCCAAATGACAAAATCATAATTTTTTGAGTGATGGTCACTCCTTGTGTAGTGAGATGTTTTGTTGCCAAATTTGGTGTGATTTCATTAATTAGTTCTTTTGTTTTTAAGGAACTCATTATGCACAGAGCATTTTTATATATATAGATTATTAAGTACAAGCAGTTCTACAACAAGATCAATCTTGTTTTGAGAAAGGAATGGGGTGATAACAAAATTTGTGACTATTGTTTGTGACCAGATTAGAAACAGGTAGTCAGAGATTAAGGCTGGGTGCTTAAGGCTGGATTCCTTTTATTTGTTCGGCGTTCCTACATGCAGTATGGGAGCTTGAAACAGTGAGAGCTTTTTCATATTTCAGTAGGAAGAAACTGGAAAGTTTGTCTTCCCATTTTATCTCCATTGTATAACATTTTATTTAGCTAAGCAAAACTGTTTGCATTTCTAATTAGAAGTTAAATGTGGATGCTTAAGATCTTTTGTTAAAGCTTGTGTGTTTTACACCTTGGGTTTATTAAGTCAGAAGTAAGTGCCATAAAGTTCAATGGGGCTTACTGCCACAGAATAGCAGTTATGCTCCAAACATTTAATTGTGAGATTTTTAGTTTGGTAATTTTTGTTTCTTTTTACATCATGTAAGGAGCTTTGAACCAGAAAGTTCACCACTTTCAGAATAAGACAAGCAGGATTCTCTCCCTGCCCCATTTTTCTCTCTATTGATACGTATGTGGCTATGGGTTCTCCATGAAAGTATGCCTAGGAGGAAATCATGATAGCTAGCATATTGTTAGCTAGCATATCGTAAGCTAGCACCATTAGCTAAGCCCTGTCACTTAGCTCTCATTGAAACAGGTCATGTTCTGTTTTGCCAGGTTATGACATTTGATGCTCTATATAGTACTGCTGTAGGAGAACAGTACATCTTCATAAAGCATGTTGAGGAGATCTGAATATAAAATAATCTTGTAACTTATTTATATTGAGTGTGTCCAGGAAAACAGAGACATTTTTGCTGTTTTGGGAGGAGGGGATTTAAAACTGTGGTCTCCCAACTGGGAGTGTGAAGTGGCGCTATACACAACAGAGAATCAAAATATGCCTGCTGATGGTGACTGTTGCTTTTTAATACAAACTGAAGTGTTTAACTGTTATTTCCTAAAGTGAGACTGAACTCCATTACGAGATGCAAGAAGCAGGCTGGTGAGATTTCAAAAGAATTGCAGTTGTGTCACATTAAGGAAAAGCCTGTGAAGTCTTGTGGAAATTATATATTGGGATGGGAACTATATTGCTGTGCAGACATCATTGAAGTGAAATTCCTTACATTTCCCACCATAGTCTACACCAGCAGTTCCCAACATGTGGTCTGTGGACCACCAGTGATCCACAAGAACTAAAATAGCCTCACTGTTACTATGAGAGTGACTGGTCTTGTGAAACCCTCTTACAGCCGTGTGTTAAAAAAATTCACACAGCCCAACAAAAAAAATATATTGGTGTCTTTGTTTTTAGGTCTATTCCTGGAGTTATTTGGGTGCTGCTTCAGAAAACTGCATCAGATAGACCACATCAGCTCTAGATTATTAAATTCTGTGGGTGAGCAGATGGCAACTATGGGATGGCATATGTTCTGTATCAGAAACTAGAGCTGATGTGGTCTATCCAATGCAATTTTCTGAATCAGAACCCCAAATGACCAAACGAACCTAAAGTTGACCAAAAACGGATTCATAATCCTTATGGTACTAATGTTGAAGAGTTGTCCCCCCATCAAAGTGGTCCCTGGTCAAGTGGACCCTGATCAAAAAGAAAGTTTGGGAACCACTGGTCTGCATTGATTGGGCAAAACCAGAGTTGATTCCCACACATGAAATGCATGATTCCCATGCTTGAACTATATGAAAAGGAAATGTATCATTAACACAGAATGGAACAGAAAGAAAACAAAAGCATGAATCTTGTTAGTCCAAATTACATTAGACACATTAAATCAATAGAATTTACTTAGGTATCGAATCACCATTCTCAATGAGTAATTCGGTTCATTTACTTTAGTTAGGACTATCTAAAGAGATTCAGGTCAAAATGTTTGATTAGATCCTGCTTGGGTACAA